CCCGTTCGCCAAGCTGCTGTCGTAATTTGCCGCCCTCTCCTCGGCCCATAATCACCGCATCTTCCACTTTCTCCCCACGGTCGCGTCGCAGGACCCGCCGCCGGGTGCCATCACCTCCCCCAGCCCCACCCCTGGCACTGGCACCCCCAGCCCCAGTCCCGGCACCGGCAGCAGCACCCCCAGCCCTAGCCCCGGGAGTGGCACTGGCACCCCCGGCACAAGCCCTAGCAGTAGCCCCGGCCCCGGCACCCAGAGCCCCAACCCAAACCCTGGGACCGCCACGCCGGCCCCGGGGACGCCGCTCCTGTCTTTCAGCGCCGCGAGCGTGGCGGTCGCGGAGGGCGCCGCCGGCGCGGTGACGGCGGCGACGCTGACAGTCCTGCTCTCGCCCGCTGCGGTGGGTGCTCTTTCTATCGTGGGGGGGAGGGGGCCACGGAGGCCGCTGACCCAACCTTCAGACTTTCAAATGTCAAAAGTTTGACGCAGGCGGCCGCTTGACAATTCAAGTGAAGTCAGCACGGGGTCATCTTTCTGTTGACATCGAATGCCTCAAGCTCAACCCTCACCAGCATAAATCATCCATGTGACGCCACCCTGCAACATCACTGACTCACCGCCGCACGAATTCACGCGCCCGCAGACCGCCATCGTCACCGTCAGCTACGGCGTTACTGGCGGCACCGCGACGCCCGGCGCCGACTTTGGTGCCGTCGGCGGGTCACTCACCTTTGCCCCGGGTGAGACCAGCAAGACCGTCACCGTGCCCGTCACCGGTGACTCAGCGTTCGAGCCGGATGAGTCGATCGTTATCGGGCTGTCTAACCCGACAGGCGGCGCGGCGCTGGGGACGCCGGCGGCGGCGACAGTAACCATCACTAATGACGACGCACCGGTGAGTCACGCCGTGCACCTGCTTATCCCTCTCATATTCTGAGTGCATGGTCGTCAGCTCGAGTACGGCTGGTTTGCTCGGTGGCTACTGCTGCCCCACACGGCTTGCATCCGGTCGCCTCTGTGAGCATCTAAGCAGAGTAAGTGACAACAACCACCCCCCATCTTAACCCCTTGCTGGAACCCCCTTACCCGCCCCTCGCGCCACCTCAGCGCGCCCAGATCAACACCGTCATGACTCGCCTCAGCGTCGTCACCGGCGGCGCCGCCTGCGGCGGCCGCTGGACTGCGACGCCGCTCAAGCCCGCCGGCTGGGCGGCCGGCGGCAAGACCATCGGCGCGTGCACCCAGTCCGCGGCCCTCAAGCCGACGCTCAAGGGCGTCACCTTCATCGATGACGTCACCGTCGCCGCGGCGACCAGGAGCGGCTCGAAGCGCGCGAGCGTCGGCTGCCCCCGCGGCTACTCCAAGGTCAGCAAGAGCCTCGTCGACGGCGCCGCGCCGTTTGGCGGCGCGACGGCGGCGGTGCACCTGTGCTTCCGCACCGCCGCAAACGCGGCGGCGACCGAGCCGCTCGTGGGGATTCGAGCGGCCGCCTCGCCCGCCTCGTGCGACGCGGCCGATGGCTGGCGGGCCGCGCTGTTCGCCTCCACGACGGGCGGAAGGGCGGGGCAGGCGGCGGATCTCAACGCGGGCACGGGGGCGGCGGCGCCGATGTACCTCTGCCTGCAGCAGCGCACGGCGCCGGCGGCGGCGGCCGCCGCGGGGCGGCGGTGAGGCGGCGGGAGGGGCAAAGCTGCGTAAGAATAGAAGATCGCGGCGGCGGCGTGGGTGCAATGGGGAGACTGCTTGTGCGGGCCCTGGCTGCCAGCTGGCACTGCTTTTTTGACATCCGTCCTTCGGCTGGACTCATCATACGTGTGTATGTGCAATTCTTGGATGCATGCATGTGGATTTTGTTTGTGCGTATGCGCGATTAGCCCGGCGGACCGTGTCCGCCGGGCCCGCGCTCGACCTATCCATTCGTGTGGCCTCCGCCGCCGCTGCGGCCGGGCCCTCTGTTCGCTGCAGCCGCGCGCGCTGCCTGCGCCGGCCGCTGCGGCGCTCGTGATACTTTCCTGCCCCCCAATTGCTTGGCACTGCCCGTCGCGCCGCTTTGCCTGCGGCTTGCGCCGGCCGACGCACACAATCATGCACATTCGTTCAAACAGCAGCCCGCGCCACATTCTGTTTCACAATAGAAGCCAACCAGACCGCAAAGCCCTGATCCTTTCGGCGCAATCGCATGCGCGTGGCCGGCGGCCGGTCCCCTACGCCGCAGTTCCCAGCAGCATGGGCCGTCGCCGCCCACCCCACCGCAGGGGCCGTTGCTGCGCCTCGCCTCCCGCCGTTCTTCGGTGCCCGCGGCCTCGGTCCACGCTCGCGGCGCGGCGGCGCGGCGGGCGAGCGCCCGCGCGCCGCGCACCCCTTCCT